CCCACCCTTAATGATCCCTAGTTTTTACTTTCATTAAAAAATAACCCAGCCACCAAGCCAGGAAACATGGAATTGCTACTCTACCCTTAATTGGTTTAGTGGTGGAGTTGGCAGTGTCAGGTTAATGGTTGGACTGGGTGATCTTAAAGGGCTTTTCCAACCCAAACGATTCGATGATTCGATGATTCCCGAGATGGTCTGTACTCTGGACCACGGCTATGGGAAGCCAAGGTCTCCTGGGTTGCTCCAGAGCCCTTCTGCGGGCTGGCTGGAGGCTGCTCCTACAGCTTCATTTTAGGGCTGGGGAATGAGGACGCTGGGCACAAGGACACAGCGGGTGTGGGGGGAAAACGGACACAGCCCGACGCGTTTGAGATGGCTCCAAAATGTCTTTTAGGCTGCTGTTCTAGACCAGGAGGAGGGAAAGGTCCGGGCAGCGCTTGGGAAGAGACGCGACGGGTGAGAACACGGAGCTCGGACCGCCTGGAGCCACTCTCTCCTCCGGCCAGAGCCCCGGGGCTCTCGCTGCTGGGAGCCCGTGGGTACGGCAGCGGGGATGGCAGGGCCACCACGAGCATCCGTCGTGATCACCCCTGCGCCAGGTCTAAAATCCGGCACCGAACGCACGGACGTTTCCTTCAGGGAGCAAAAATCCTTTTGTTTCTCTGGTTTTGGGGTTTTTTTGGGGGTGAAATCCCAGCGGTTGCTGCTGTGGTCACTACAGTCTCCAAACCAGCAGCATGTGGTGGCCTGACCCTGAAGGAGGAAACTTTTTTGCTTTTTATACAAAAAATTAGGGTATTTATATATATACACACACACAAAATAAGCTTTTTTTTTTCTTTCTCCTTTTTTTTTTTTTTTAAAGAGCTGACCAGCGGAAAAATGTGAAACCATTTCCCTGCGGGTTCGGAAAAGCTTGTGCTTGTGGGGTTGTGGGTGTTTGGTTTTGGTTTTTTTTTTTTCAGATGAGATCCAGGATATCTTTGTCTTCTTTTTTTTTTTTTAAAAAGGCTTTACTCCCTCAAGAAAAAAAAAAAAAGATTTACAAACAAAATAACAGCTTGTATCAACTCTCCAGAAGAGAGATGGTATGACAATATTAATCCAAACATCACGCTATTTAATTCCCCAATAAAACATTGGAAAAAAAGGAGCCAACAGTATCTGCACTAACACTTTGCTACATATAAAATCTCCAGCTAATATGAAGCTTATGGTACCAACCTCTAAAACAGTTAAGATATATACACATATTTTTTGGGGGGGGTATATTAACAAACAGAATATTACAAAATATTAAAGAAGGCAACTCTTCTGTCATTCGTTTTGGGGCGTGGATTTTTTTTTTTTTTCTTTTCTTCACTTGAAGTTGGCGTAGTCTGAGAAGGCGTCGATATATTCCTGCACCACCTTGTAGCAGAATTCGTACTGTTCCTGCGGGATTCGGGGAGAGCACAGCGTTAGACCAAGAAAATTCAGACCTAAGACAGAATTCAATGCTTCGTGGTCTGCAGCTAGCTGGGACCGAGCACGGTCAGGCGTCCTCAGCCCAGACCGAGGGAAGGAACCGGATTCCCACCCGTGAGCAGGTCCCACCTCCTTTGTGACCCCAAAACTGGGCTGCCCACCCTCCTTGCTGGGGTGCCACCAGCAAAAGAAACTCTGCTTTCCCCTTCCTCTCTGAGGTCCTATGCTGCTCCAGGACAGGTTTCCAGGCTCCTGGAGCCCATAAATATGTGGGCTGTGGCTGAGGATGTCTCCAAAGAGGCTCCTACAGCTTGTGTGGGTGCTCAAAAGGGGCTTGATGCCTTCAGCCAGCCAAGCTCCACTCTTCCAGATGTCCTAAGAGGAGGAAGGGGACACACCTCCCGAACCACCTCCATCCCTTACTCTTTCATGGAGAGTGAAAACCTTCAAGCGAGGAAGTTTTTGCTCAACGTTGAGTCCCCAGCCCATTCCTGTTGAGGTCTGGGGTGGCAGGAGGAGCGTGGGGTGCGCTCGGCTGCGCTTACCAGTGTCTGCACCATATGCGGCCTCTGTAGTCTTAAACTCTTCACCGTCTGAAAGACGTCGAGAATCCCTTCTGCTTTCACCCTTTCCAGGACAGTGCTCAGCGCACAGAAGGTGCCTGTTCTTCCTGCTCCGGCACTGGCAAAGAGAAAGCAGAAGGTAAAGAAAACCGCCCGTCCTGACCATGTTGGCTTTCCTCAGGGGACAATCCACAGGGGAACCAGCAGAGAACTGGAGGAGCCCACGGTCCTGCCCCAGCCTCTCCTAGTTTAGCCAGGACATGCTCTACAAGCCTGAAGCCTCTTTGCTTAACCAAGCAGGAAAACCCCCTACCACGTCTGCCCGGGCTGCTCCTGCTCAGCCCAAGTCTTCTGAAGGACCTTTAACCATCTCCAAAGCTTCTTGCAGAGCAGGTCCCCTTGGAGGGGTGGCCAACCTCTGCTCCACCCGGGCTTTACCTGCAGTGCACAGTGATCGGGTGGTTGCCAGACTGCTGCTGCTGCTTCTGCACAGCCGCGATGATGTTGATCATTCCCTTCCCATCCCCGGGGATCCCAACTTCTGGCCAGCCGTGGAAATGAAACTGCCGAATCTGTCGGCTCTTGTTTTCCTGGTGGAAGAGCACAGCTTGAGGTCTGTAAGTTGGTGGGAGACCCGTACCAAGAAACCCACCAGCTCAAGGCTTTGGGAAAACCACCTGCTTAGGAAAGCTGTCTGCTTGGGAGGGGAGGCATTCCCATGGCATGGAGCGGGGCAGGACGTGGGGAACGAGGAGCAGGAAGGAGGCTGGGTGGTGGGCACAGGGACAAGGCAGAAGGAGGACGAGGGCTGCGTGGTGGCAGCAGGGTAGAGGGGCTGGATAAGAAGTGATCAGCAGGACAGGAACCCCCGGGGTGGGAGGTAAGCGTGGGGAGGAAGGTGGATGCACCTTGGGTTGCAGGGGCTGGACGCTACTTTGGGATGACAGGGAGATGATGGAGCTGAAGATGCCAGAGGGAAGGTTCAGCACTTGCAAGAGGAACCGCAAAGCACCATCAACACCAAGGGGGGTTAATGACAGCCAAACCCAAGAGCACCGAGAGCTCCCCGCAGGGAGAAGGCCAGACTCTTACCCTGGTGTTCGTCACCAGCAGGTCCCGCACTGTATAGCTCTCACACTCCTCCTCTTTTTTCAGCTCCACAGTGATGTCTCCATAGGACACTGAGCCATCGGATGGCCAGTACTGGGCACACTTCTCCTGAGAAAGCATTACAGAGGAGACACGGTGAAGACCCCCTGCTTTTCCCCTGGGCTTGAATTTCCATTCAAGCTTATCCTGTGTCCACTCCACAGGAGTCTTCTCCTGTGGCTGGCAGCTGCCCAAAGCCATGTGGGATCTCACAGAATGGTTTGGGTCAGATGGGACCTTCAAAGATTGTTTAGTCCAACCCCCTGCCATGGGCAGGGACATCTTCCACCGCATCAGGTGGCTCAAAGCCCCATCCATCCTGGCCTCGAACACTTCCAGGGATGGGACATCTACAACTTCTCTGGGCAACATGGTCCACCGTCATACCACCCTCACAGTAAAGAATTTCTTCTTAATATCTAATCTACACCTACCCTCTTTCAGTCTAAAACTGTTACCCCTCGTCCTATCACTATCTCATGGGCTCGCCTTGGAGACGAGATGCCTGCTACACCCAGAGGTGCTTTGAGAACCAAGGGTCCAGAGTTGGTTTATTGAACATCTCCCCATGCTGGGTCTACCAACATCTGGATTCTTTGCGTTACAAGTGGAGGCTGAAATACATCTCCTGCGTGGCTTTGCTAGACAAAGGGTGAACGAGCACCCAACGCATGCAGCGCTGGCAGTGCCATGGCCATCGGGAGATTTTAAGGGGTCACACTGATCTATTTTGCTGGTGCTCCAATGCAGCTATCCCCTGGCACTTACCTGGCCTCTCTCCTCCAGCTCCGTTAGCATCACTATGGAGCAGGATTTCCACTCCCAGATCATCCTCCAGAAGTCCTCTATCGTGTGCTGCAGCGGTCCTTGGCTGGCGATATAGGAATCCTTCTGGCGATAACCCTGCAATTTGAAAAGAGGGTTAGTGGTGAATCGGCAGCGCCAATTCATCCAGCCAGGAGCAGCAGGAGGAACACTCTTGGACACAGTCAGGTTACCAAGCTCAGTGATTTTTTGGGAGCATCATGACTGTCTGTGCGAATGACCACAGCCTGGGCAGAGAAACCTGCTCTCATGGCGGGCTATGTCCCCACGCATGGGCATTACCACCCTGCTGCTCAGCAGCTGAGGTGCCATCAGCCAGCGCTTTACCATAGTAAGACCTTTGTTTTTAAAGAAATGCTGATGGAGGAGGATCATATCCCCTACACATGCATGGCCTTATCATAGAATCAGAGAATGCTTTGGGTTGGAAGGGACCTTTAGAGCCCATCCAGCCCAACCTCCTACAGTGACAGGGACAGCTTTAACCAGAGCAGGGTGCTCAGAGCCCCATCCAACCTGGCCTGGGATGTTTCCAGGGATGGGGCCTCCACCGCCTCTCTGGGCAACCTCTGCCAGTGCTTCACCACCCTCATTGTAAAACATTTCTTCCTTATATCCAGTCTAAATCTATCCTCCTTTATCCATTTGGTGGAGAAAGATTTGGGTTTCCAGCACTCCTAAGAGATGTTGCAAAGTCTGAGCGTTGTGGCAGAGCCTTGCCCGAGCTCCAAGTACTTCAGGTATGATTTTTACTGGGGACTTTTGGAAGAAGTAAACAAAACTAGATGGAACTAGATGATCTTTAAGGTCCCTTCCAACCCAAACCATTCTACGATCTATGAAAACCAGCAGTAAGTCTGGGTAACTCTTGCTATTCCACAACCACAAAGTGCTTCTTTTCCAAAACCCCTCCGACTTTCCCCTGTGCCCTCGCTGCAGACTGTGACTAAAGATGCTTCATCATTTGGAGCTTGTCATTTAAGCAAAGTTCAGCAGAGGCAGGAAATTGAATCCTCAACAAAAATTGCTTACACAACATGTAAGCTTTCTGATCGCGATGCAGAACAAGGCGGCTGCTCCCGGCTTCGTTGTGTTGGACGCTCATGCAGACAGAGCAACACGCAGGGACCCAGCAAAGCAGATTTCAAGGAGCAATTAATTTGGGATGTTATAACTGGGAATATGCTAGTTTTACTGGTTCAACCCATGGCAGTAATTGTCCTTTGAGGGGAACCGCCCCCCCCGCCATTAGGAGATGAAAATAGAGATTGGGCTAGAAAAGAGCAGGGCTCTGTCACTTAGCCAGCACTGGCATCACTGCACGAAGATAAATACTCATATGAGATATACCCCTGAAGTCAACAGGATTACTCATGAGAAAATGGTGTGCAATCACTTACGTCCTCTCCGGAGTGAGGAAAGCATTTAACCTCTCTGCCTCGCCTCCTCCCGTCACCCAGACAGGTATAATGGGATTGACCTGGTTTTTCTCAAGGGTTTTGGGATCCGTGTATTGCTCCATTACCTAATCTAGTGGATGTTTTCTGACCAAACGAACAGTGCCATATAGCAATCATTTCCATGGCTACGTGCATCTGCTTCTCCAAAGGCATCATCAGAGCCCCGAGTTGCAGAAGTGAGACCAAGATTTGGAGGCTCTGCTCAAGCTCCAGCTCTACCCTCTCACCATCCATGGGTCACAAGGAAACTGCACATACAGAAGGGTTTCTTGGAGAAAGAAACTATCAGCATCCGGTGACACAAAGCAAAGTCAAGTGGAAAGAGCCTCACCAAACCTGGAGAAGAAGAGTTTTGGGACAAATCCTTTCCATAGGAAGCAGCGTGAGGTAAAGAGTTTCCATTGGGAGAAAATGGAAAGAAGATTAAAGAAGACTCACGTCAATGAAGGAAGCGTTTACGTAGTCTGTGTTCTCTTCACCTCTCTTCACTGGAATGATTACTCGGTTGAACTCATCTGAAATAGAAGCAAAATTATGAGTTTTGGGGAACACCTTCAAAGTATGACTCCTTGATAACCATGCGTGGCCTTTAGCTGGGAAGTCACCAAGCCCTAGGTGAGAGGACAGAGATATGGGGAGTCCTATGTCCTGACTGGGACAAGGAGACTCAGTCCTGCCTTCTGCCATGCCCAGGTTTGGGGAAGGAGAAGAGGATGCTGAGGACTCTGGGAGCAGGACCTGCTCAACACAGGGACTCCCTTCTCTCTCGAGGCAGAAAGCCTTGGCAGCACAAACCTGCTGAGAAGAAGTCATGGCGGGGACAGGGCAGAACGAAAGCAAGAAAGCCCCAGGGGCAGCGTTATATTCGGCCATGAAAAACCACCTGCCCTTGACTCTGCCCTGTCCTTTCATGCCATCCCTGCTTGAGCAGGGGTTGGACCAGGTGATCTCCAGGGGTCCCTTCCAACCTCAGCCAGACTGTGACTCTGCTACTGCGGGCACAAATGCCTCTGTCTTGACTGCTCCTGAGCACTCACAGAATCACAGAGTGGTTGAGGTGGGAAGGGACCTCTGGCGATCACCTGGTCCAACCCCCCTGCTCAACCAGGGCCACCCAAAGCTGCCCAGGACCCTGTCCAGACAGATTATGAAGATCTCCAAAGAGGGAGACTCCACAACCTCCCTGGGCAACCTGTGCCAGGGCTCGGTCACCCTCACAGTCAAAAACTGTTGCCTGATGTTCAGAGGGACCCTCCTGGGTCTCATTTTGTGCCCGTTGCCCCTTGTCCTCTCACTGGGCACCACTGGAAAGAGCCTGGCTCCGTCCTCTTTGCACCCTCCCCTCAGGTATTTGTAGACATTGATGAGACCCCCCCGAGCCTTCTCTTCTCTCGGCCTTTCCTCATTGCAGAGATGCTCCAGTCCCTTCACCATCTTCATGGCCCTTCACTGCACTCTCCCCACTATGTCCATGTCTCTCTTGCACTGGGGAGCCCAGCACTGGACACAGCACTCCAGGCATGGCCTCACCAGAGCAGAAGGGTCACCCCCCTCGACCTGCTGGCAATGCTCTAACGCAGCCCAGGACACCACTGGCCCTCTCTGTGGCAAGGGCACGTTGCTGGCTCATGGTTGATCCGATGGCCACCGTGTGGGTAGTCCGTTGGGCCACGGGGCCCCCCGGGCCCCCCCCTGCCAAGCTGCTTTCCAGCTGGGTGGCCCCAGCACACACTGGTGCCTGGGGCGGTTCCTCCTCAGGGGCAGGACTTTGCACTTGTCCTTGTTGAACTTCATGAGGTCCCTGCTGGCCCATTTCTCCAGCCTGTCCCCACAACCACCCAAATGGTCCCCTCACCCACCAGGCATGCTTTCCCCAGGCAGACAAACAAGTCTTACATGGAATTATCTGAAGCACCCTGTTCTTCTTCATGTTTGCCGGCAAGTTGCCCGTTCTCATCTTGTCGTTCTGAATTTTGATTGAAGTGAGCTTCTGCAGAGGAAGGAACGAAAGTAGAGGCAGCTTTCAGAGCCACCCTGTGCCAGGCAAGTGCATGGTGGTCCCAGCAGCCCAGCACCACCCGAGCGGATCCACCAGGACAAGAACCACGCTCACCTTGAACTCCTCTTCCAGCCCATTGCTGCTGGTCCCTGGCACTTTGTTGTAGATCTTCTGGAGGTGGATCTCTAACGAGGTCACCTCCAGCTCTGTGTCACCGTAGAGATAGTGCTCCAGAAGTGCTTGGTATATAAACACATACTGCATCTGCAAGGGTTGCAGGGAGAAGCTGTCAGCCTCTGCTCCACACTCAGTGAGGGCATCCCGGGGGCCCGCACACATGCTGGCTGCAAACCCACTGCCCCACTGCCCACCCGTGCTTGCTGGGCACGTGGCACCCCTCGGAGACCCCAGAAAAGTGGGTAACAACCTTCCTGCCACTGTACAGGGACTGGGACCTTATTTGCTACGCCATACAAAGCTGACACGACACAAAACTTTCTGGAGAAGAGAAGGCTGAGGGGAGACCTTATCGCTCTCTACAACTACCTGAAAGGAGGCTGTAGTGAGGTGGGTGTTGGTCTCTTCTCCCAAGTAACAAGCCATAGGATGAGAGAAAATGGCCTCAAGCTGCACCAGGGGAGGTTTAGATTGGATATTAGGAAAAAATTCTTTACGGAAAAGGTTGTCAAGCATTGGAAGAGGCTGCCCAGGGAAGTGGTTGAGTCCCCATCCCTGGAGGTATTTAAAAGATGTGAAGATGTGGCACTTAGGGACATGGTGGACTTGGCAGTGCTAAGTTAATCGTTGGACCTGATGATCTTAAAGGTCTTTTCTAACCTAGATGATTCTATGATTCTACGAAGGGGATTAAAAAGACCAGGACCCAGCGAAAGGCTCACTTGATGCAGCATCCTTCCAAAATGAGGGATGATGCTCAACCTTCACGTAGGCTTTGCTGCAGGCTGGGTATCGAAATCTAACTCCAGTGAGCAAAGCCCAGACGAGACCGCAGCAGCACACTTACGTCTGTCTGTACCATCTGGCAGCGCTGAGCCCGGATCCGGCTCACGAAGCCATAAACGTCCACCTTCCTCTCCGCGTGCATCATGTCCAGCATGGCATCAATGACGATAAAAGTGCCTGTGCGTCCTACCCCGGCACTGAAAGAGCAGAGGGGACAAGTGGTCAGTACAGCAGTGTTGGCATTGGAGTCCCCTGTAGAGTGCCCGGGAGCGAGCCAGATGCTTCCCAGCAGTGAGTAAATAGCAACATCTGTTTTGGAGATGAGAGAGGTCCTCAGCCTGGTGTTCAGTGTCGCCTGGGTTTTGCAGAGAGACGCACACAGCATCTCCAGCAACCGCCGCAACCAGAGTGCACGAAGGCACAGAGCAGGGTGAGCCAAAGGAAAACCTGGGCCAGCTACAGCCTCCAGAGTCTTATGGGCTGTCCATTCCTACCAGCTGCCTACTGCTCCTTCCAGTCACCCTCCATCACGTGAAGGTGAGCCCACAGGGAAGCCGTGCTGGTAACTCAACCATTAAGGAGAAGAAGAAAGATGAGGCCAGCAGATGCTACAGGAAGACAACGCTCTTTCGTCAGCTGCCTCCTGAGAAGGAAGCTGGAAAGATGGACTCGGGAGGTTGTAAATACGGTCATCATCTCTGCCTTTAACCATGGGGCTTTCCCTTACTGAAATGTGGACAGCCTCCCATAGCTCCCCCAGGCTTGCTGCTGTGCCTGAAACCACTCCACGTGAGGTCAAACACCGTGGTCCCTGCTCCCAGACACACTGTCAGCTGAGCATTGCCTTCCCTCAACAAGGGACGTTGCCTTCTTGTGCCCAGGGCAGCGGGGTGCGAGGGAGATGCCACCAAAGCCCGGCAGTGGTGCTTAGCTTGGCCCATTCGGCGTCTGCTAAGCCAAACGACCACTCAACACAAGTTGTAACACCAACACAGCGCTGATTCCAAGAAGTTCCTTCCATTCACATGCATTTTTTTTTAATGTTCCCATGTGGAACATTCCCATTTAACCCAGGAAAGCTAAGTAAAAACAATAAAAAAGTCCTGACCAAAAAAAATCCTTTTAGTATTAAATAGGGGATGCTTTCCAAGTGACCCAGGAGGTCAGCCGTGACCGGGACGTACCTGCAGTGCACTACTATTGCTCCCGCGTATTGGGGATTACACGTCTTCACCTTCTTCAAGAACTTCAGCATCCCGATGGGGGTGAAAGGGACCCCGAAGTCGGGCCAGCTGGTGAAGTGGAACTGAGTCACCAGGCGCTGAGGCTTCTTGTTTGTGACGTCACCAACCTGAAGGGGAAACGTGTATTCAGGTTAACGATAAATACTCAGATTTCCCTTCTTTCCCCAAAAGAAAGGGCAGAGAGGCAGCTAGAGCCCCAGGACTGAGCTTGATGGCTTAAGAAGTGCTAGCATCCACAAGCTGAAAGGGCACGGACCCAGGCTCCGGGGCCAAATTAGTCTCTAAAAGCATGACATTTCAATCACCCAGCATCACATCCCACATCCTAGGGGTAGGAAACGCCAGCCTGGCCTCGGCTGTGGCTCCAACCAGGCAGAAGCTGTGGTATTTCATTCCCAGCAAGCTCAAACAGAAGCTGCCGCTCCATCCTTTCCCACACCTCTGCCCACAGCATCCTCAATTAAAGGCAGGGGAGGAAACCACCCATGTCCGAGCCGTTGGAGTGAAGGGTGAGGCTCAGGAGAACCCCACTCAAGGTCCAGACAGGTTTTCAATTGCCAGCTCTTCCTTGCCTGCCTCCGAGAGCAGCAGGAAAACAAACAGAGTGACTAAAGCATCCAGAGCCTCCTTGGAGGAATAGAAAACAAAGTGACAGATGGGAAAGCAATCAAAACCAATGCATACGGTGCTGGATTTTGTCTCGACTCATGGGATAAATCTGATTATTTGCAGGCATTAAGTATCTGTGGGTGAAAGCAGGAACCAATACTGGTAACAGCAAGTGCTGGAGTATTACAGTACTGAATTTCAGCCTTGGCATCCATCAGCTTCCCTGCTTTCAGTACAGCCACTCTGGTACCCACTGGGAATGGGCTCCCAGGTGTTTAAGGTGAGCAAATTCTTAATAGCCCTGGTTAAAAATGGATGCTGGGATCAGTTCATCCCAAGTCTGCTCTCACAGTACCTCGGAGGAGTCGAGGAGCATGCCAGAGCCTGTTGGATGTCCAGCACGGAGAGGGGAGGGATGGGATGGGATGGGATGGGATGGGATGGGATGGGATGGGATGGGATGGGAGACGCGAGCCCTGGTACCTGCTGGATGCAGAACTTCCGCACGGTGTAATCCACCAGGACGGTCACGTCCTCCACGGACACTCGGATGTTCCCGTACGTCCAGCAGCCCTGATCCGGCCAGTACTGAGCACACTTACACTGCGGGGAGAGAAAACGGGCGCAGGTGAGCTCCGGCCCCTTGCAAGCCTGGGACGGGCTCCAAGACATGCCCATGGGCATGAGACGTGCCAGATTTGGGCGAAGTTGGGTTAGATATCAGCCTGTGAAGCCTTCTGGCACCTACCTCCTTCCTCTCTTTCAGGTTGGTCACCATGACAATTGTCGCTGTGTTTTGCTCCCAAATCATCCTCCAAAAATCGTTCACGGTTTCTTCCTTTGGTCCTAAGGGGAAGGTAAAAAGAAATGTGGTCTTTGGGATCAACCCCTCAAGTGCGGAGACCAAAACCCAGCGTGTGAAGTCACACGTCGTGGATGATGCAACACATTTTTTGCCAATAGGTGTCAGCACAGGAGGTGTTTTGGTGTCGGGGGATGTCAGCTAACAAGGAACAATCCTATCACACAAGAGCTTGGCTTTTTGGATACGTGTTATGAGAAGGAATTCCATTTTTAGCCCAAGAAGGGGAAATCGGACAAATGGGAGCATGGAAACGACTTTCCTAAGGTCATGCAGGGAAACCGTGGCTGTCAGAAGTAGCTCGCAGAAGTCCTGTCCCCGAGCCTTGTGCTTTAACCACGGGATCCCATTTCAATATAGCACAAGAATAGTTACCTGCTGCTGCCAGACAAGGAGCTGACTCAGCCTAGAGCTGCCCTGCCAAGGCAGAGGCTCAGGGAGAGCCAGGAGCATAGCGGAGCCATTTACCCCAGCCTGGTATCGCTGACGGACCTGATCCAGCCTTCCTTCTCCAGCAACAGCCGGGCAAACCGGCAGGTGATGTCCTAACCCGCTTGCAAGTCAAGAGTGGAAATGTAAAATACTGCCCGTGGGCAGGTAACCCCGCTTTTGCTGACAGGAACCCCACTACGAGTGGGCATCTTGGTTTTAGGGACGTGTTTGGAGCGGTACAAGGAAAGCAAGAGAGCTGGAGGGCTACGGGTGGTGCATGCAAGCTGGTGATGCTCTGGCTGGGGGCAGCTGAACTTGGGAAGACTCGTGCTGCTGGTTGCTCTCAACAGATGGTGGTCCTGCCTCCCCTCTGAAGACCAGAGAAATGTCTCTCCAAGGGCACAAGCCCACGTTCCTGTCTGCCGAGGCTTAAAAAGGAGCAGAAATGAAACCAGATCGGTGTGGTGCTCTCCGTAATAACAGATTTGGGGAATTTAATTAAAGCAGCTCACTGGCAATATTTCCAGAGATCATGACCACCTGCAGCTGTAGGCCAGGGTGGAAGGACAAGGCTCAGGGAAGAAATGCTCTGACACCCTCCAGCACAGGTATTGCACAGGTAGGGCTTCTCTTCCTCCTGCAATGCACCCAACACTGGTCTTCGACTGGGAAAACCATTTTGGGAACAAACTATGGACCAGCCAAGCCTCCTTTTGACCAGGGGAGCTCTGCAAGGCGCTGCGCTGTGGTTAGACTGGCACAGCTTTACAGAGCAGAAGGACCCCAGTCTGACTGCCACCAGACCGAGCTACAGAACAAGTGAGCATTTACCTTGTGCAGCAATGAACTTGTTTTTCTCTTGGTACCCCTATAGAGAAAAGGAGAAAAAGGAAGACAAATGAAAGACCCATCCTCTTCTAACTCAAGAGTCATGAAGTGCAGCTATATCATAAATAAACAGAGACATCGCCTGCTCCGTTGCTCACTCCCCTCTGTGCAGAGAAGGGGCTGCAGCCTCCGAGGGGAGAAACAGCTCCAACAGCAGGGCAGAAATAATGGAAAATCCCTGTGCAAAGGGCCCTTGCCCCAGAGCAACACTCCCCACGCCCACGTAAGGCACGAACAACCCCACTTGTTGGCACAGAGCACTAATGAAGTGGTACCTGACAGCCCTTCTGCTGGGGTCAGACCCTGCATGCAGAGCATCACATGAAAATCAGCATTAATCTTCAGGAGATAGAGCTGTTGAACTCATGGGGATTGATTGTGTGTATTTCCTAATGGATATTTATTTATTGGTGAAGAAAGGAAAAAGTTCTTTTGGATCTTGCTTTTCTTTGTGTGCCTCCATCTCTCTCAAAGTCTACTTCTTCACATTACCCTTCCAACTTATTTGAACTATATGGTGATAACCATATAGGACCCATCTCCTCCTAGAAGCAGAGCAGGGCAATGTTGCCTCTATTTTAGCTGGGTTCCTTGATTTCTTTTTCATCCCCTTCCCACGTCCAGGCCCACAAGCTGGGAAGTACCGATGATTAACCAGCCACATCACTCATCAGCCATTAATCAGAAATCCCCGGTTCCTGCAGGAATGGTTCCCAAACCCCTTCCAAGCCAGCTGGCTCGGCTTTGCAGCAACCCAAAGAGCGCAAGTGCTTCTCATTATTTTAGAGGTGGGGAAAAGAGAGGTGGGAAGAGATGGGACTATGGCAAAGCAGCTGAGCAAGGGCAGCGCTACAGCTAGAATTTGAGTTCCAGCTCTCAGACTCTTTCGCCAGCCATGCTCATCTGGGCTCAAGGCACAGAGCGAAACACAGTGAGCCATACCACGGCCACACAAAGGTTATGAGATCAAAACCCAGTGTCATTTATTGCTCCGAAGGAGCTGGGGAGATGTTAATGTAGGACATAGTCTCTTAACCATCCTCCCAGGCACAAGTCACACCCCATAAAGGCCCCACGCTCCTGGTGGGACCAGGAATGGCCAGCTGGGGTGCAGCTGGTGGCGATTTCCCCTTCAAATCACAAAACTCACATTAATGAAGGAGGCGTTGATGTAGTCGGAGTCAGGAACTCCCTCAACAGGAGTCAGGTGAACCCTGGAATGATCATCTGGAAGAAAATTAAAACTTTGCATTAAAAACAATTCCCTCCATGTAGCTGATATCTGGTGTAGTGAGAAAGCCGGGTGTTGGAGCGGAGCCCGGGCTTGCTGGCTCCCCTGCACACACAAACACCTTTATGCCCCCAAATTCTTCTTGCCTAAGCTTGGAGAGGTGCTAGACCTCAACCCAAGGAAGTTTTTCTTCTGCAGAGAGCACACATTTGAGGAAGCCCCTGAGGTAGCCCGCAGCTCCACGCCCCCCAGCAAGAGCTGGCCATTTCGGCATTTCCCATCCATTTAATTTTCAGTGGCCTCCTAGCCGCTGATGGCTCCAGGGAGCTCCTCCTAGTAGGTATCTAAAGCTAAAGCAGATGGAGCCACTTATCTGGGAGGAGAAATGAGCTCAACCATGTCCTTGCCCATCCCAAAAACAGGAACACGGAGCCCCGGCAGCAGCACCGTCCTTGCCCCTCCCCACCCAACATGCCGTGATACCTACAGGGCAAAATGTTCACGTATCTGTTCTTCTCCTTGTTCTCCTCCTTGGAAGCAGCTTCACACGTGGCCTGTATGGGACACGCTGGGAGAGCCTGCAATGGCAGAAAAGGGGGGTTTCCATGATGTTCTTACTCACGGCACAGCAGTAACCACAACGCAACCGGCACGTCGGCGCATGCTGCATCTGGGCATCCCATCGTGGGGTGGTCACCTTTTGCTGGCCTCCAGGAGGTAGGTGAGCAGCAACCCCTTGTCCGCCTGCCCCTTCGGATGTGTCCCCACCACCCACACCCCTCACCTCCACTCTAGCACCAGCCCCTTGTCCCCACCGAGCTCAGTGTGACCATTTAAATAACCTGGGCTGGGCCAGAGAGAGCAAATCCCTTCCGAAACGTGGTATCCGGAGTCTCAGGACCCATGAACACGAGGTGGCAGCAAAGCCTCCAACACCAAACCTGCCAGCCTTGATCGCTGGATCAAGGAGCTCATTTCTGCCCATGGAGGCTCCTGCTGAGATTCCCTCTGTTAGCAGTGATGCTAAACTGATTAAACCCCCTGTGACAAGCCCCCATCGCCCCAGCACACCCAGCGATGGGAAGGAGCACCCACGCAGGGAGTTATTCTCCATCCAGCGGTACCGGGGACCTGCGGGTTGGGGGGTGCTGGGGTCACAGGCGATGCTGTGCCGGTCACAGCAGCCAGGTTTCACGCTCGAGCAGAGGAGGTGCTTCCCCAGCACTGTTATTCCACATTCTCTTTGGACAGTGAGGAGGATGAGAAGGTATCGGAGGGATTCACCATCCCTTCCAGCCGACAGGACAGACGTGCTTCAGCAACGGAAGTCTTCAAGGCAACTGAGTATTTATAACCTGACCCCCCGCCTCCCCGGGTATTCATTGCACTTATTTAGTTTCATCGAAGCGTGGCCAGGAAGGGTATCAAGTTGTCCAACAGCTGGAGAAAGTCGAGTGGCTTTTTTTTTTTATCTTCTCATCATCCTCATGTTGCCGTATCACGCCTTGGACCTAAGGTTTTATGTATTTGCAGATGACACTTTTGCAGCACAGACAACCGGATCAACAGCGGTTTTTCTTTCTTTAATTAGGCTGATGGAGAGTCCAGGGAGTTCAGCATCTCCTACGTTACATGCTGTGATACTCCAGCTAGTTATTTACCTTTGTCCCCTACCTCATTACTGCTCTGCCTATTTTTGTATTGCCAAGGTGAAACAGGTTTGTCATCACAAGAAGTTGCAGAGCTCAGCAACGTCAGGAAGAAGTTGTAGCCATCTCAGAAGAGATGCTCCAGCATCGTGGGATAACGACAATACCTGAATTATTACTCACTGTTGAAGGCCAACTGTTGTCCTATAAATTGCCATCATTACATTTCAGGGTTAACAGCGTACTGAAATAGATGGGGTCATTTTGGTTTCTCAGAGCTCTTGTTTTGGCTGTTTGTGGATTTAAGCCATGAGGATCGGGAGGAGGGAAGCAGCGCCTGAGAGGAAAGCACCAGGCAGGGAAGCTCTGGGAGACCCCAAGACATCCAGGACACTTCCCAAACCAGAAAAACGTAACGCCGTAATGCCGCTTGCTAGAAAACCTCTGCTTTCTGTAGTGAATGTGCGGGGTAGTGGCTTGCCCACCATCACAGCCGATTTAGGACCAGAATCAGTCCTCCCACTTTGCAGCCCTTTGAGAAACCCCCTAGGACCAGGCAGACCATCATTCCCCCTGTGAAGCTCCCAGATCAGCTCTTCTGAAGCACGGCATCCAGCACCAGCACTGCTGTTTTATTGACTCAATTACCCCGAATTGATGTGCCGTCCCCAAGCTAAGTACCACTGCACACTGTGGCTCCTCTCTGACGTACACCAGCCATTTTGTCCCTGCTCTATGAAGTGAGACCAGACCTTTCCCCGCTCTGCATCTCCCTGATGCTGAGAGCAGCCTGTGGGATTTAAGGACAAGAAGCAAAGGCACTCACATTGAACTCCTCCCGAAAGAGCTTGTTGTCATCTGCCATCCGGCGGTTGATCTCCTCTTCCAGCTTATCGACGGGCAGAGGCGGGTATTTACGGTTGGTGCTGGGGGAGCGGGCGAGCAGTGGCATGCTCTGTGGCTCTGCAATGACACCCGTGCATCAGAAGTGCCCACCCAGCTGCTCCCCGTGCCCAGCACTCATCCATGCCCAGGTGGGCACAGGGACCTCACCCACCCTGGGCTGTCTGCTTTTAGGGCCAACTCGCATCCTCACTGTCCCATATTTTCACAGAATCATAGAATGGGTTGGGTCGGAAGGGACCTCAAAGGTCATCTAGTTCCAAACCCCCTTTCATGAGCAGAGACACCTTCCACTAGACCAGGTTGCTCAGAGCCCTGTCCAACCTGGCCTTGAACACTTTCTGGTCTTTTGTTCTTCCTATGGATGGTGCACAAAAATTTGGGGATGCTACAATAACGCAAAACTCTTTCAGCACCCTGTAGTTGAGCATTAGGGCAATGAGGACCAAGTCTAACAACCCCATGCAACGCTACAGGCTTGGGAAAGAGCGGCTGGAAAGCTGCCCGGCGGAAAAGGACCTGGCGGTGTTGGTTGACAGCCAGCTGAACATGAGCCAGCAGTGTGCCCAGGTGGCCAAGAAGGTCAACAGCATCCTGGCTTGTATCAGGACTAGTGTGGCCAGCAGGAGCAGGGAGGTGATTGTGCCCCTGTACTGGGCACTGGTGAGGCTGCACCTGGAATCCTGTGTCCAGTTTTGGGCCCCTCAATACAAGAAGGACATTGAGGGGCTGGAGCGTGTCCAGAGAAGGGCAACGAAGCTGGGGAAGGGTCTGGAGCACAGGGCTGATGGGGAGCGGCTGAGGGAACTGGGGTTGTTTAGCCTGGAGAAGAGGAGGCTGAGGGGAGACCTTATCACTCTCTGCAGCTGCCTGACAGGAGGGTGTAGCAAGGTGGGTGTTGGTCTCTTCTCCCAAGTAACAAGCCATAGGACAAGGGGAAATGGGCTCAAGTTGTGCCAGGAGAGGTTTAGATTGGATATTAGGAAGAATTTCTTCCCAGAAAGGGTTGTCAAGCATTGGAAGAGGCTGCCCAGGGAAGTGGTTGAGTCCCCATCCCTGGAGGTATTCAAAAGCCGTGTAGATGTGGTGCTTAGGGCCATGGTTTAGTGGTGGACTTGGCAGTGCTAGGTTAACGGTTGGACTCAATGATCTTAAAGGTCTTTTCCAACCTAAATGATTCTATGATTCTAAGTCATCAATATTGGGGGATAAAGACCACCTCGCTTTGAATTCAAGCTTCACTCTCACTCATGTGGAGATTTTGGCACCATCACCATGACATAACTCCCAGGTGGACACAGCAAAGGTAGCTGTTGCTTGTGGTTCCTCAGCGAAGCCAAGAAAGGCCACGCGAGGGTTATACCAACACAACCGACAATTTATGAAGTTCACACCTTCGCTTACAGCAATGTAAAACTTGGGTAGGGAAGGTCTTAGCTGCCAATGTAAAGAAAAGGTGCTGATTTTAAGGTAGCCGTCACTCCAAAGGTGTTTGGTTTATGTGGAGGGAGCTCAGAAAAAAGATCTGAACTGAGTCTAAGAGGTAGTGAAGATTTGCACGAGAGTTTTAATCAGCCCTCATCCTAATTTGAAAAGGTAGAAGGATATTTAATTATTCCCCAGAGACGTGTTTTTTCAAAAAAGGTTCTTATTTGAGTCAAAGAGATATTGTGAAAATTCAAGAGGAACGTGAGTAGTTCGGTGTTGGAAGTGATCGCACATTTTAATATTAACCACTTGAGGGCAAACATTTTGTTGCTGGAATGGAAGTTGGGAAATAAATTTTCATTCTATAAAAGTTTGCCAAAATCATGGAGAACAGAGAAAGTTCTGGACAAGAAACAAATAAAAATGTAGATGAAAAAATACTTTCCTACAAAAATATGAGGTGGGAGAACAAAGCTGTGGCATCCAGCCCGCTGAGTCCCCAGGTGCTGTCATTGCACCGGGCTCAGATTGCGACAGTGCTGCATCCACGGGCTTTCCTGGACTTTTAGAGAGGTCTGTCTTCTGGTGTATTTATACTTATTCTGGTGTATAATACTTATATTATTCCCACCAGGAATAATATAAATATACACTCAAGACCGTCTTCATATGCCCTTCCAAGACCATACTTAAAGAGAACACAATCTTCATTTTCCTTTTTACACATTTCCAGCAAACCACCTCTGCAAACCAGCATTTGGTGAGTGTGTTCCCATTTCCATTCAAGCTGGCCAGTAAAAGATGCCACTGGGTATGACGTTGGCCACATGCCCAACAAGTTGCACGCGTCTCATTGCCGTGTTGGAAGGAATGAGAAAGGCAGAATGGTTAGCAGAGCAACTTGGGTAGCTCTGTGCTGCCCAACGAGCCGCTCTGGAGGGCATAAACCAAACCTGCTTTTGCCACTTCAAGGGTTTTATGAGATTTTTGTAATTTGTACAATTTTTAGGAGAATTGCTGGTTATTTCACTAGCTAACTTTGGATGATTCCAAGTCGGGGAAAAAAAAAAACCTAAAATATTCCATTGTTATTCTGCAGAACGTTTGCATTGACCCATTTTGATCTGGACGAAGCTTATTCCTTCTGCGAGATGCATTTTTGCTCCCCGTGTCGCACCGAAGCAGGCCTCACCTGCATCATCCGTCCGGCCGTTGGACAATCGAAAGGAGTTGGAGTGACTCCCTGCTTGCTTGTATTTCTTGAACCTACCAAAGACAAGGGAGTGGAGAATGTCAGTAGATACCCACCAAGAAGCCCAGGTTACCTTCTGGATGAGAGATGCGGCCATGAAGGGCCTTCCTCACTTTCTTATGGCCTGATGAACTAGCTGGTGGGTCCAAGAGGCTACGGGACCTCTAAAATCCTGCCTAAGGGTGTAACTTTTAACTGACCACATCTGGAAAGGCTGCAGGAGACCAGAGCAAGGTGAAAGCCAGGAGGAGAAGCTTTAAGGCTGCTTTTTATGAAGGACACCCCAAGGAGTTCCTGCTCCACGGGCTGATTCAGCAAAGCACATAAACCCCAGGCTGATCCGTCCTTCTGCTGCAAAGCCCTTTTCCATGTGCTTTTAACTTGAAGCAGATGCTTACGCTCCATTTGCCTGAAGTTAAAGGTTTTGCTGAATCACTGGGCAGGCGGCGGCGAACAGAAACTTTTTTTTTAAGGGCTGGAAGCCAGGTGGGGAGGACTCAAACTCTGCTGCTGCCGAACTCCCGAGGCAAAACTCTCATCAGGTTCACTGCTGCGAAGGAGGGCCCAGAGCCAGGAGACGAAGGGAATTTTTCCACTGCTAAGGAAATTGTTTTTTCTTTTTTTTTTTACTTACTTACTTAATCACCAAAATGGTGAGTAAATTAAAATGTTTACTGCAGGTGAATAAACACCCTCTTCTAGCTGAGCAGATATGCACTCAGGAGCAGGGAATGCTACATTTAGAGCAGCCCAGATGCTTGGAATTTTTAAAAATGGACATAAAAAGGCTCTGTTATGTTATAGTTCCAGCTACAGCATCACCTAATGCTCCTGACAAGCTGCGGTCGTATGCCACCTCGCAGAGAAAGATGCACAGGCATGACACACGGGTCTGGTACCCAAGGCAGAGCTTGGCTCTGGATGTTGGATCATGTTTGATATCAAAATGGGAATCCAGGAATAACACACCCGGTTACACATGCAGATGATTTTCTGGCTCAAGTGCTGTGTTCGAGCTTCCCTGGGTCACTCAATCCAACTCCCTTAGCCTTGCAAGGAAACCTTATGTGCACTGATAGGACTTTAGTTTAATCTATCCTACGAAATATGACATTTTCAGTAGCAAAACAGGCATTACTCCACACGAGGATGCGCTTTACAGAGAAAGGAATAAGCATCATTTACTAGATAACCCCAAACATTTTCCTTATCGTTACAGGTTTCTTTTTAAAACACTGGCTGTGTCAGCCTGTAGCTTAGGGAACAGCACAAAAGGCTTACTCCTGTTCATTCAGCAATTAATTTTGGTCAAACGAGGGAAGTCAGCATTAAAGCATCTCTTACCTTAACATGTACAGCACAATAATAATAAATACTATGACTAGAAGGGAAGACAGGGCCACCATCACAGCTATAATTGGAGTCTCGTCTGCAATAGGAAAAGAAAGGTGTGGTTATCGACACTGAAAAACACCCAGTGCCATCATTCAACAGGGCAGAGCTCTATAATT